TCAGCAAATACTTTTTATCAGGTGTATCTTTTGAAAATTGTTGAATTTCTTCAGACGTTAGTGTTTTTGACTGTTTTGGAACATATTTTTCAGATTTGCGTTTTGAAAATGCACGTAGTTTTACGTATTTTGATATATCAACACAGTTTTTAATAATTAAGGTACTCCTCAGCATCGAGTACTGAGACCATAATGTTGATGATTTCAATCTTCTTGAAATCATCAACATTATGGTTGAAAATAAACTGACAAGGTATTTTCGGAACAAGATTTTACCTTGGCTCTCATTTACCAGTTTCTGTAAGCGATTTCATATTTTTCTCTTGATGTGCTTGGTAGCAAATCATTGCAAACAACTATTGCTTTCTGAACAATTCCTGGAGGTGTATTTTCCAACTCTAAATTTTTGTATTCCGTTATATTCAATAAATCTAAACTGTTTATACTATAACAATCAACAACAAAACTATTTTCGTTGGGTAAGTTGACAGCAATAATTATGCAGTGCTTCGGTTTTGTTGTTATGCAAACGCCGACAATGGGCTACTTGGATTTTGCACGAGAATCGTCGGCGTAGCGTTGTCAACATGGAGAACGTGTCATATTAATCTGACGTGTAACAATTCATGACTGACTTGGGTTATCGTGATAACAGTGATAAATTATTTCTCACTGTAATGGCAGATATTTCTCACTGCGTGGTTTACCACGTTTACCAAAATGAAAGATTTATCTTTCATTTTGAACGTATGAAAGCGATGAGAGGAGTGGCACATTGTATAGCATCCGTAGAAAAACAGGATTTTTGTTTTTATTTTTTTCTAGCATTATTTGACAATATAGCTCAAAACCAAAAACACATTTTCACTGATACTTTCATTCACCTACACGTTTTCATCTTCTAGATATGTTGGAACAGCACACATTTGTTTTGAATCCTTTCCGGAAAGACAACAGCTGGATAGAACATTATTCGGTATTTTGGACAAACACTTGGCTGACTATGGTGCGTTTCAAATCTGCCGATTCCAAATTGGAATAATTCACCATTATCAAATTGTTTCAGTTTCACAAACTGCACCTAAACGATTTGATCTCCACAAACTTTATTGAAAAAATATATCACAACATGTTTCGCTAAACATTAGCTTTTTCAAGTGATTAATACCTATTAATTAATCAATCATTAATTATCAATAATTAATCAAGTATTAATCACTTGAAGAAAGCTAATGTTTAGCGAAACATGTTGTGATATATTTTTTCAATAAAGTTTGTGGAGATCAAATCGTTTAGGTGTAGTTTGTGAAATTACTATGGATTATTTCATTTCTGTTTTTTTTTAATTCTTCTTTTTCAATTGTTTCAGGGATTTCAAGTCATTTAATATATTAGACAATGGAAGTCCGAACTAGTAAAATTCAACAAAGAAAATAATTCATAGCGAATAGATTTTGATGAAATACATGAGACGTTTGTTTGAAGGTAGTAGACAATGTTTCTTGGTGCATTTCATTAGATAGGACTTTGATTGTCTAATAGGATGTGAATTAATTTAAAATAACTGAAAGAATCTGTGAAAAAATGAAAAAGAGATTAGCTGAAAAATAATAATTATATTAAGCAAAAAAAAACTGAAATTACAATGCAATAAAATACAAGTAACAACCAAAAAAATGAAAAAAAAATTATCAACACGAGATGAAAATTTAAAAAAGTTGTTAACAACAAATGAAAATTGAAAATTAAGAGATTTCAAATCAAGTTACTTCACGACGTTTCGATTGTTAGTATCTACAATCATCTTCGGGTGTTAACTGTGTGTGTTAACCGAGATCTGACTATTTATAGATCATTCGAGTGCTTTCACCTATCCCCTCTTTCCTCTCTTCGCTTCTTCGGCTTTAGCGGAATCTGACTGTTTGGTGGGAGTTGGTCGTGTTCCGCTCGATTAGAGATTTTCATATGTTGCGTATCTCTACGCTAGCTTGGCTAAATGCGTTGTTGGACAAACATGCGGCTTCTTTAATTTTTCTCCTAAACCAGTGTTCTTCCTTGTGGATGATTTCAGCTTGAGCCCACTTGATGTTATGTTGATGAGTCCAAACATGCTCTGCTATTCCTGATTTGCTTGTTTCTCCTTGCTGTGTGTGTTTCTTATGCTCGTCAATGTGAACTTCAAATGGCCTCCTAGTTTCACCGATGTATGATCCTCCGCACTCGCAGAGAATCCGGTAAATGCAATTCTTAGAATCGCAATACGCGATTTATCGGATACTCTGCGAGTGCGGAGAATCATACATCGGTGAAACTAGGAGGTCATTGAAAGTTCACACTGCCGAGCATAAGAAATACATAAAGTGAGGAGAAACCAGCAAATCAGGAATAGCAGAGCACGTTTGGACTCAAGCTGAAATCATCCACAAGGAAGAACACTGGTTTAGGAGAAAATCCAAAGAAGCCGCATACATGTTGTCCAACAATGTATTCAGCCAAGCTAGCGTAGAGATACGCAACATATGGAAACCTCTAATCAAGCGGAACACGACCAACTCCCGCTAAAATGCTAAATCCGATGAAGCGGTGAGAGGGAAGAGCGGGCAGAGAGTGGAAGCACTCGAATGACCTATAAATAGTCAGATCTTGGAGGAATGAGTCCAGTTATCACCCGAAGACAATTGTGGATACTAACAATCGAAATATCGTGAAGTAACTTGGTTTGGAATCTTTAAATTTTTAATTTTCATTTTTTGTTAATAATTTTTCAATTTTCATCTCGTGTTAATAGTTTAATTTTTTTTGGTTGGTGCTTGAATTTTATTTCATTGTAGTTTCAGTTTTTTTTTGCTTAATTTAATTGTAATTTTGCAGCTAATTTCTTTTTCAGTTTGTCACAGATTCTTTCAGGTATTTCGAATCAATTTATATCATACTAGACGATGGAAGTCCGAACTAATAAAATACACTCATGAGAAATGTCGGATTCACTTACCACAGTTAAAAATTAGGGATCCATGACAATTGAACAAAAATAAGGTTCAAATCAATTTATTTAAAAATTACAATAGTTTGTTCCAGAATTTGTCGTCATTTTCAAAACATTCATGTTCGGCATTCTACTTATTTGTACATAAATCAACCATCTTTATTTAATCAAATTCAGTAGGGAAAATCTGAAATCAGTATTACACAATTTTCTGAAAACTATGAATATGTAGAAAAAGATAAGTTCAGTTCAGTGCAAACCTCCAAAACAGCACCATTGCAAAACACAGAAGAATATTCGAGACAGCTATGCTACCAGCGGTACTAGGTGTTGTTTGTGGGGTAGGTGGAGTAGTTGGTGTTTTTTGTGAGGTAGATAAAGTAGTTGACGATGTTTGATTTGAGGTAGATGGAGTAGTTGCCGTTGTTTGATTTGAGGTAGATGGAGTAGTTGCCGTTGTTTGATTTGAGGTAGATGGAGTAGTTGCCGTTGTTTGATTTGAGGTAGATGGAGTAGTCGCCGTTGTTTTATTTGAGGTAGATGGAGTAGTTACCGTTGTTTGTTGTGATGTAGTTGTATTGACCACTGTAGGATCAAATATCATCCTTGTCAAGGCTACCTTTTGATAATACTCTACAGAGCTCTTAGCAACTCTCTTTCTCTCGGGGTCCGTGAAGTTGACGTAGTACAAACCAAAGCGTTGACTGAAATTGAAATGAAACTGTGTGAATTACATATGAATACATGTTTTGTCCCAACAACCCAAACACAAGTTACTTAGATCTTATACAGCTCCCTGGCACAAAAAAGTGTATTATATCCAAATGAATAGAATGAATAAATCGATGGTGTTGTCGTTACTGCGTTGAAAAAGAACATTATGAAAAATGTGAAATGAAACTTTCTATGTTTTTTTTAATGTTTTTTACCGCTTTTATTCGTAACTGATGTTACTGTAGTTTCATCCTATGAGGACATTTCCAAACTAATGAAATAAACTGACAATAATTGATAATATTAATAATATCAGCTTTCATACTGTACACCACTGCAAGTTGTAACAGAGGTACTTAACTTAATTGAGTAGGTATAGTCGAAGTAACCCGTATTGTGCATAGTTAAAGTGTCGGCGCCCTCAAAGGCCAAAAAAACAATACAAAAAGATGAAGCCGCTGCCAACTAGTCCAAGTGGACCGATGAATTAGCGGTTCGTATTGGATGTTACGGTGACGAATCGAATGCAAGGATGGTTATAACAGTCCAGTTCAGTTCAGTGCAGGAACTGATCGCGATTTGAGTGTTGAAATTCGAGTTTCGTTTCTGATGTGGTGGTGGACGGACGTGCTGACAGCGACCGTCCACAAAGAAGGCACGCGGACGCCATTGTTGGAGACGAAACTCAGTTTGTGTTGCGAATGTCTGCCGTCATAGAACATGCCATCATTAAATTAAAAGTTTTTTGTGAACAGTCTATAAGGGTTACAGAGAAACAGCACTCCCATTCACGCCGATTGGAGGCCGGGGTGGACCGGATGTCCACGTGGGAGTGTTATAGTGGATGTACATAACTCCTGTTCCCATTCACGCCGGTTGGAGGCCGGGGTGGACCGGATGTCTACGTGGAGACAGGATTTTACCAAATAAATGTGTTGATTATGTGTAAAAAGTCTTGAAGTCTCCAAAAAATATTAAGTGTTTTTCAATATAATAAAAAATTTAGACAAAAAAGGGGTGGCAGCATTGCTGCGTGCAAGACAGCTGCGCCCCTCCCTCCCGAATCGAGCTGGCTAAATGCGCCTATCTGGAAGCAAAAGCCAAGAACTTTGAGTGAAGTGAAATGACTGTTGAAATTCGATATTGGTGCGGTCAAAATTTTTGTTATCTGTTTAAGATGTGGCGTCCTTGGACAAGTACCAATAGAAATAACGAGTATGATAACAACGCAGACTTTTTTTAGTGTAGTGATTCCAATAGCGATGGTGAACAATGCGAAAAAGAGATACCAGTGAATGAGAATCGAATGCATGTGAATATTGAAATACAGAGAGTATGTTTTGTTCTAATGTACTTATAAAAGAATCTACATTTCAAGTTTTATTTCGAGGAAAACAAATTATTACAAGCAACATTAGATTTGACCGAAATTCCTTTCTCAACTGTACGTAAAATAATCGAAAACAAATCTTATGAACGCAAGACGCGATATGATACGGGATTACCAAAACTTTCAGGTGGTCATTTAATGGAATCATTGAAAAAAAAAAACAATAAACGACTGTTACAAAAGCAATTAAATTTTTACAACTGACATCATAAGGAAAAAATTGAATACTTCCAGCCATAACGTGAGCTACACTGACGAAACTCTTCAGAATTGAATAAACTAGAATTTAGATTCAAGATAATAAACAAACGTCAAACAGTTATGGAAAGCAGAAGAATAGTGAAATTGCCTACAAATACTTAGAACAAATAACTGAATGTAGACAAGAACAACGGCAAATTTTCTATTTGGACGAAACTTGGTATGACACTTACGACACAATTACGAAAGTGTGGATTGATGGTTCGGAAATGTGTACGCCTAACATGCCTGCAAACAAAGGATCGCGACTAATCATTGTGCATTGCGGGGGAAGTAAAGGATGGGTTCCGAATTCTTTGAAATTATGTGGAGAAAAACTTGAGGACTGCAATAATGACTGTCATAAGAACATGGAAGCTAATATTTTTAAGGAATGGTTTGAAAACACATTGATCCCAAATTTGGATGCTAATAGTGGAATAGTTCTTGACAACGCTTCCTTTCATTCGCGACAGCTCATCAAAGTACCGAATAAAATTTCGAGGAAAGATGAAATAGAAAGTTTGTTGAAGGATAACAATTTGTATTTTGAAAATAACTATACCAAAAACCAACTACTTGAAGTTTTACAGACAAAAACATTTGAAAAAGTGTATGCCCTTGAGAGTATTGATGAAAAGTATGGAACCACCTTACTGAGACGTCCCCCCTATTTTTGTGTTTTTAATCCTATCGAGTTGAAAATTGAAACGAAGAATCAGGTGTGAAAATAATTTTCCAAAATTTGATAAGAAGGTAATAGAGCTAGTTAAAAAAGAAATATCTAATATTACCGAAGAAGACTGGCAGAAAATGAATAAAAACGTAATTTTAGTTGAAAAAGACTATATGCAGATCGGACACTTCCATATTAATGGTGGAAAAGTACAGTGGGTGTAAATTATATAATATGCTTTCAATAACTCTTAGGAATTCCCCAAATATCAATGTATTCAAAGTCAGCTGAAAAAATGCTAATTCAGAGGACTTGTTGTAACATCCAATAATTCACTAATCAACTAATCTGATATCTTCAGCTTTAGAAAATTTGGTTTTGGTGTTTATGCTTAAGAGTTTTGCTTTGACTCACCGAATACTTGAGAAAGTGTGTGTTGTTTATATTATATTGACTTCTTAATAGTCTACAACTATTTACATTTATATTTCTGTCACTTCTATTAGGTACTTATGGAGTTTATCAATAATTTTGGACTGTTTTTGTAATTGTGTTGTTTATATTATTCTGACTGACTTTACTTTTAGACTTCACATTTTCTTTGTTTATTGTGCTTTGCTTTCTTCCAACTGAAATTTTCAACCAGAGAAATGAATGATATTATCACTATTATTATCAAAAATAATTGAATAATTGAATGTTACGAAACATTCTTCATTTCAACATTTCAATGTTTCTTTCCTTTCTTACTATTTCAAGAATTAATGTGAGTTACTTGTTAACATTATTAAATAAAGATAAAAAACTCATCATCACGAATAGGAAATTATTAAGATAACTATTATTTCAGAAACATCAGAATTGTCAAGAGAAAATGATAAAGCAAGTGACATGTTCACATGTCTCAAGTTATAATTATTATAAATAGTGGGTAGTCAACATAAAACTCACCTATAACCTTGTGTCCATTCAAAGTTGTCTAGAAGACTCCAGTAGGTGTACCCATGTACTCGCACTTTATCCTTGTCAATTGCTTCTAGTACGGCATTGAGATACTCCTGAAGGGAAAAAATAAATTGAGTAATAGGTAACTCAGCATTTCATTTGGCAATATAGAAAATTCATTAAAGCATCATGACTGCAAACAAGTACACAATCTGTACGCTGTCCATCTTAATGTCCTTTTTTTCATGTATGCAAGTGGATAGTAAGCCATAACATCTAATAAACCTTGTAATTATATAGAGTTCAAAAAAATCCTTCATGCCATCAGCCGCAATAGCTAGTATTTTGTATTATAATGATGAAAATAATGATAATAACATATCGATAACAGCTTGAATTCGTGAGTTATTTACGAGCATCTTATACACACGCATACTCACCGCAGTTGAACGAGTATCCGGAAGGATATATGAGCAGAGAGGGTCGAAGAGAGGAGTCGCTGGATATAAAGCAAATCTGCTAATCGATAGACGTGTAGCGCAGGACTCGATACAGTTTGAACATAACCTATCTTTGGCCTTGATCGATTATCGCAAGGCATTCGATACACCATCGCACCATCGACAAAATAGAGGGATGCCTTGAAGATCTGATTCCACTCTGGTGGACTCACTTCACCATAACATCTGGTCAAGCTAGAGTCCTAACAGGGTCGTCACTTTCAGAAGGGATGTATTTCAGTGCCATTATCCGTTGCGTACAGAAATACTCATGAGTATAACTGTGGCACCCCCGGAAACCAGAAGTCACCCATTTGTTCTGTATAGATGATCTTAAAGTTATGTGCCTCTGGTGAAAAGGACATCCATCAGTCCTTAAGTGCAGTGAAAGAGTAAACGCATGCTAGACAAATGTGTGATGGTCTATCTCAATGCAGGGACTATGGAAAAAACGTGCTGCTCGTAGATGGGTGCCGGAGAGACGTGTACTTACCTAGAGGGGAACAATGTTACCCGCAAGCCCTTACATCAATTAATATATCTCTCTGTAGCAAGTATCAGTTGTAACTTCGACAGAGCTGGTCATTGGAACTGACGGGAAAAACAAAGTTGCTGCTACAAATATGCTTGCCGTTTCAATCTCACTATACTCGAAGTAGTGATGGACTCGGGATGAGCTGTATGAATTCGACGTGAAGAACCAAAAAAGATGCATTTCCGAAGTAATTTTCATTCCAAATCATTCATTCCACGGTTGTATTATCCTCGACAACAAGAAGGCTGTGAATTTTTTGGGGTAGCTGCCCCAGCGGCTGATGTTTCTGATACTGAACGAGGTGATCACAACTCTGTCATCGAGTTAGAACTCTTTAAGCAAAATACCCACATAAAAAACCCGCAGAAATCACCTAACTCTTGCGGCAACACAAGGGATCTGCTAATACATGGGGTTTTCTTCAACAAAATTCAGGACCTCGGTATATCGAAGCAACTAACCGCCGCATTGCTCAAGTCGAGTGTGCTGAAGTCGGAAACTGAGGGTTTCATATTGCCCGCCAGGATAGTAACTACAACACATCAGTTTACCGCAGTCGCGTCATAGATATAGAAGTTTCTGGCACTGAGAATGAGCTTGCAGCAAGGCGCCTGAGATCCTGATGCACTTGCTGTCAGCAAGTCCAGCATGAGCGTACTTAGACTATCTGTATCTGTAGAGTAGGGAGGGTGAGTCTGAGCCCTCAGCATTTAGGCCACATGTGACCCATTGTACATCCTCCCGAGGAATTGTCCTCCTAGGTCATCGTCCATCCTGTCTTCTCCAGGAAGGTGGACAGGTCACTGGGAGACATCTCCTTTATATCGGCAGGGGTAGGCCAAGACTTCCCGAACACACACTTTCTTATTAAAGATAACTCCGGGCACTCGCATAGGACATGCCTGACAGTCTCATCTTCCTGTTCATATATCCTACATAGAGGTGTGTTCACTAGCCCCATATTATGGAGGTGTTTCCTCAGTTAACAGTGTCCAGTCAGTAATCCTACTGTTAAGCGTAGATTTTTCCTGGTCATGGCCAGATATTTCTTCGGCGCCAGCTTTCCAGGGTCGTCCAGGGTGATCCTGGCAAGACTGTATCCTTTGATTCCATCCCATCTGTACAGGGATTGAGCATGGATATGACGTTTGGCTAGTTCCGCAATTATCGAAGTCATAAAATTCTTAGTCCAGCCGCTTCCTTGGCGAAAGAGTCGGCAGTGCAAATACCTTTACTCCTATCGTGCCCTTTAACCCACCTCAGGATAATATCCTTATATACCGAGTCTTTGGCTAAATCTTGGTGATACTATAGTACTAGCCCTAGGGTCACACGTTGTACGTTCAAGGCTAATAGGGCGTGTCTGCTGTCAGTGCGGATTGTTATGTTTTTGACAGAAATTCCTTTCCTGGTTATTTCTTTTGTGGCGATTAAGATACCGGCTAGTTCTGTTTGGACTACGCTGGTATTTTTTCCCATTCGCCACTTAATCCTTAGGCTTTTTCCATGGAGTACATGGCATTTTTTTTCATGGAGTACACTCCACATCCTGAGCCTTCTTTGGTTTTTGAGCCGTCTGTATATATGCGTATTGCATTTGTAGCATCTGACTCTGTGTTCTGTTCCATTTGCATTATGTAGGGTTTATTAAATACAAACCTGGGTTCAATCGCATCACTGGTTGCCTGCAGCAGAGGATGCGCAGTAAGCGCTTCTCATTTTTCAATAACTTTCATTATTGCATATGCCTGCCAAATTTCAGTTTTTTACTCCTTGTCCTTTAAAAGATATTCAACAAAAATTATCTAACTCAGAAAATGAATTCAATTCAATAGTCTTTCTTCAACAAGTGCTCAAAATGTTTACCATTCACCAAATGACAATACCCTAAACGCAACTAAAACTCGTTTTGAACATTTCTTATTACTTCGACGGAAATAAGCCTACACCCCTGTCTTATTCGTTCTTTTGAATCCTCAATACTTGCCGGTTTGGTCTTAATAACTTTGCTCTTCAAGTAACTCCATAAGAAAAAGTCCAAATGTGTTAAATCCGGAGACCTAGGTGGCCATTCATAGGGTCCTCTTCTGCCAATTCATCTGACTGGAAAAACATCATTCAGGTACTCACGGACAGGTCTTGCAAAATGAGGAGCGCGCAGTCCTATTGAAACCAGATGTTTCTATTCGGGACGTCAGCTTTTATAGAACAAGGGAACAAAATAGCCAAATACGGAACTACGTCCTCCTGCAAGAATTCTAAATATCTTGCTCCAGTAAGATTTTCTTGGAAGAATATCGGTCCTATAACTCGATCACCAACAATCCCTGCCTGAACATTGACTTTTTCTGAATGTTGAGTGTGGCCTTCGCTCATCCAGTGTGGGTTTCTGTCTGCCCAATAACGACAATTTTGACGATTTACCACACCATTCAACATAAACGTTGATTCGTCTCAAAAAATAACGTTTTCTTTTTGTACAACATTCCTGTCTAGTAGATCCATCATTTGTTCGCAGAACTGGAGTCTTCTATCTGGATCATCTTCGGTGAGTTCCTGGAGGATTGTTATTTTATATGGATGAAATTTTTCAGCTTTAAGAACTCTTGCCACTGAAGACTGGCTAATTTCGAGTTCCCTATCTATCTGCCTAGTGGGGACATGGGGATTTTCTTCGACAGAGAGAAGAACATTTATTTTGACCTCTTCACTGAGCTCACTCCGACGATGATTATTTGTTTTTCTTAAATGCCCATTTTCCCGGAACTGATTTTCGATCTTGCTTACGGTACTTCGCGATATGGGTGGTAAATCAGGATACTTCTCTCTGAATAAATGGGTAACTTCATTTTGTGTTCTTGTCCTATCTCCGTAGCCAATCATCATTAGAATTTCAATGTTATGTGTTTAAGTAAAGTACGGCATTTTACTAATGGCGAACAACAAACTGTGAAACGACTAACAGTTTTTGTGCACAAATATGATTGGAATGCGATACTTCTCTCCTTACTTTTTTTTGATAACTTCATTATGACAATTTCATGAACTAATGACTAATGACTTATGACTAATGAATTGAACTCATTTTTTGAGTTAGATAATGTTTGTTAAATATCTTTTAAAGGTCAAAGAGTAAAAAATTTAAATTTGGCCAGCATGTGCAACTTGTTGAACCCTTTAATGAAAGTCATTAAAAAAACAGGGTTGTCATTTGACAAAATTATAGATGAAGTCATATCTCATATTTGAGACACACTGTATAATTTTTTTTTGCAAGAAAATAAGGACACTTCAAAATACTATTCGACATGTCCGAACATATTTCCAAAAGAAACAACACCTTTGAGTTAATGAATTTGTTCCATGTTAGAGACTCGCACTGTATAATATATACAATGAAAAATTAGTTTGCCTGGCTTTCTGACAAAATACATTTGTATAATAATCAGTATAACAACAGAACATCAAATATTAACGTTATAACTAAGGCACAAACGTTGAAGCTTTTGTGTGTATAATGTGTTTATGTTATAATAATGATGAAACTAAAACATCGATTGTTGATTATTTGTTCTTAGAATACATGCCTGTGAATACAACTGGAGAGAATATTCAAATGTAAGTGATATTTGTGACTCCAGCAACTGATAAAGATATGTTTTTTGAAAACCAGTCAAAAACTGAAGCCTTGCAGAGGTATTAATGGTATTAAATAAGGTTAACATTGTATGTATATACGGTTTTATCTTCCTCTTAAAGATGATCACTTGGTGATCGAAACACGTGTCGAGGTGTTAAAATAACGGTTTGGTGTTGGGAAAAAACTCCAGTAATATTCATTACTGCACCAAAGGTTCCAAACAGTTGATCACAAGGAGATATACTGAGCTGAGAATTTCATCCTGAATGATAAAACCGGCGGATAGGTACTCGACAGGAATTCAAGTGGGTTATTGTTTGATCATTTGCGAACAAAACCGCATTATATTCACCTGCAAACAAAAGCGCAGGTATTTGAAATAGCGGCATTCAATCCCTGTCCAGTACCCAACTGATGGTTTTGTAATTCAACAATTCTACCATACCTATGAAAACACTATATATCTCAGT